TGTCTTCTGGAAAGCAGTATTTTATTTTAATATGACATTAGAGAAACATTAGGGTTGTTTTTTACTTCCTTGCCAAGTGCAGATATTAATTCCAGCCTTTCCCCCCGCTTATGCGATTAGTTTACAGCATTTTCTTGGAAATAGCTGCCGCATTACTCCAATGGCCAATGCTGCTTCCCTGATCTCCTATTTTCTTGGCTGATTATCTCCAGGAATCTGAATCTTCTAATTATTCACGGGTCTCCCGGTATTGGCGGAAAAGTAGCATTCTGCAGTCAGGTGACTCGCCCGGTATCAGACTAGAATTGATAGCAAAGTAATAGAACGCAAATCCATCCTGTGGCAATTTGGCACCAGTGATCGGCCTTAATAGATTTTAAGTAATTTCTCTATTATGGTTCTATTGTCTGCTGATTTATCCACCGTCATTAATTAGAAACAGAGTTACCATGGTTACAGTTAATTGTGTGTTATGAACAGCTTGAGACGTTAACCAATTGCAATCAGCAAATTAATTTAGAAATTCTCCTGGAATGGGAAACATGTCAAAGGCAGAAGATGGATGCCTGGGCTTTGTGAGCCTGCATACTTATTTAGTTTCAGCCCAGAGTTATTGATATCGCAGTAATCAACTTTACCAGCTATAACTTATGGGATATGATGGGCTGTATCAATATTGTTTGACACTTCATATTGCCAAGTCACCACAGTAAAAAATATTCATTAGCTCTATTAATTGTAGAAATGTATCACTGTCTCACCCCAGTGTTTGTGCACTTTATAGTCACTACATATACAGTGGGACATTTATGTATGTTTTCGTTTTTTCATTTAAATAGCAGAGACACTACTGCAGCATCTCACAGAATAGAGAACCATTAGTGACAGTGCCTGCCACCAAAGGAACTTACAGTCAAATGTTCTTACCATTATAAGCAGGGCCAGATTTACTCTCTCTGCTGCCCCAAGGCTATGTTCCTCAATGTGTCCGTCTACCCGCCTCCCCCCCTCCCCCCATTGAGCATGGCAGACCTGCAGGCTGCATACAAGTGATCTCGGCGAAATCGCAGCTTCCCCGCAGTACATTTAGCTCTGCTTGCTCAAAGCAGGGCTAAATGTAGAAAACAACTACCCGCCCAGCACCCGGAACTGCATGTCCCGGGCATCAGGAGATAGGAATTGCACACCCCTGCTGCCCCTCTACTCCCCCTCTACTCCCGGCTGCCCAAGGCCAAGCCTTGGTTGGCCTTGTGGGAAATCCAGCCCTGATTATAAGTACATACTCAAAGTGGCACTAATCTTAAGAGTTCAATCTTAAAAATGCTTTCAAGTACCCTAAAAAAGAACTATGGCCAAACCTTTCTTGTTCATAGTTCTCTTTAGGGTCACAGGACGAAATGTACTAATATCCTCCTGTGACCCCAAACTCAGCATGCAGCAGGCTATTGCTTATATGCTGACAGTGCAGAGATCCACTGCAGCTGGGATGTACCCCAACAATATTGTCGGGGATCCACCCCATTACCTCACAGCTGGCTCTGCCTTTCTAGAGGCAGAAACAGCTGTGCCAGTCAGCCCTGGAGGAATGGGGAGGGGGGATCCCTTGCGGGGAGCGGTGACTGACAGTTACTGCTCTCTGCAGGGAGAAGATCGGGAACTGAGCAATTCAGTGGTATGTGATCAATAGAGCCAGAGCGTGACAGCTTCAGTGTCACACGTTGGCTCTGACTATTGCGATGAGCGTATTTCACATATCCCATAATTCTCTTTTAATTATAAACATAAATGTATCTTATTTGTGTATCACTCGGCTGTAGATCCTCAAATCATCTCTGAATTGGTGCTGACACTGTCCTTCCTTCTGGAAGGTGGCTACTTGTGTTCCCCATGGTCCCTGTGTGTGTTGTAAAGTAGTCACCACTCCAAGATCACTCCCATGATGGACTACAATCTCATGTTTAGTTTACTAATTCATATTGGGATTTAGTCCATCATGGAGTGAGTTTGGAGCAGTGGCTACTCTACAACACACACAGGGACCATGGGTAACAAAAGTAGTCACCCTCCAGAAGGAACGATAGCGAATTCAGAGATCTTTAGTTGTATGATGCACAAATACATTTAATTTTTGTTAGGAATTAGGGTACTTGAATGCATTTTCAAGATTTAACTTCCTAATTTAGTGTCACTGTAAGTTCAGACTTGAATCAGGGTCAGTTCTGGGTAAAGGTCAAATAACTTACTACTGTAATTTTGCAATGTGGGAGCAAACAAGGGCACCAGCAGGAAGTCCATGTAGACAGGAGATCATATATATTCCAAGAAGATATCAAAAGAAGATAAGTGTCACACTACTTTCAAAACCACTACTAGACAGTTGAAATCCAACATACACAGTGCTACATAAACTAAACTCCACAACAGAATAAAAGATACCTACTGTACCTTATATATAAATATTTGTTCCGAATGAAATTTGTATGTATGCAAATTTTGTTATCAAACATTCGGATTAGTTATTTCTGTCATTCAGAAATTCGGATGCATCCAAATGTACAAAATTACAGAAATTGGTACGCATTTCAATTCAGAACGAAACGAATTGCACATGTCTAGCTATGGTTATAGATGCATTACAAATAAAAATCTTCTAGTATTTAGTTAATGATTCAGTAAGGAAATGTTTCAAATGTGAACTACATTGACATAACACTACTATCCAGGCACCTTTAATAATTCTCTATTTAACCTTTGTTATACATGAACCATAAGCATGTTTTTGAGTGATGTGGTGTCAGGGTTCCACTCTGACCTTACTGGTTTGCAGCATTCTGGCTTGGCTGCCATTTTACCCACCTGTGTTTCCTTCTTTGCCTGAGCAGACTCTGTAACGTTGCTCACTACTCCCACTCCCACTACTGGCCAGACAAGAGAGCATCATCTGAGAGACCCAGATGGGAGTTTCCTGTCTCTGAGTGATGATGTCACCCCACTCACTATATATAAACCACTCAGTCCAGTCTGACCTTGCCCTTACGTGGTCTTCCTGCTAGTGCATTCCTGCTTCTCTGAGTATCCTGATGCTGTATATGACCTGATCCTGGCTGACGTTCTCCTCTGGCTCCTGCTCCTGGCTTGATCCTGACGATGCTGATCTCCGAGTTCCTGACCTGGCTTGAACGACTACCCACTCTGGCTCCTGACTTTGGCTTGTTCCAGTTTATGATTCTGCTTGCTCCTGTGGACACTGTTGTTAATAAATATTTTAACTGGCACCTTTTGCTTGTCTGGTTTTCATTGTGCTCTGACATGTGGTATTCGTAATCACACCTGCTTAAAAATACCCAACCATCCCTCCCCTAACCAACTCCAACCTCATTCAACCTCTTCTCTTTCTTTCTCTACACAACTCGTCTACCTAATTTATCCCTCAGCTCACCAGAGGCTCTGATTCTCTGTGAAACAATGCGAAACATTAAAGTCTTTTCTCTACCCTGATGTATCCTATGGCTGGTAAAACAAAAATGTAAAAATCAAAAGGGGATGCCAGGATATGTGACTGGTTTGTGTAAATTTAATGAGCCCCTGCTGTATATTGTATACACTTGTACAAACTTATTGAAATTGAATAGCTTGAGATGCTGTCTGATCTTATCCTTTTTGGTTTTAAGGTTTAAATATAACTTTCACATTTACCAGATGTGTGCTTTTTTAATTGCATTATAAATTATTTCATTTTGAAGGAAGCAATATAGATTTTCACCTGTGTTCTACATGGTGACTGGTTTTTAGAGTAAGCAAAATGGCTATGGGCTTTAATGTCAATCCCCTGGATAAAAAAAAAACAATAAAAACAGTAATGGGATTAAAAAAACATAAAATAAAAACAGCAACAGGTTTGAACATTAGGGGACAAAAATAACTTACATCCTGAATTCCAAAGGTCTGGCCAAGGTGAGGGTGAGGTCATGGGGACTTTCCCTGGAATCCTAGGAAAGCTTTGGATCCCAAATGCCATGGGAATGCACTCCTGCACAGTACCGAAGAGTCTTCTAGCTAGGTTTGGGATCCTTAGCTTTTCCAGATTCCCACAAGAATGTTCAGTGCTGCAATACACATTGGTGACTGCCTACAGTACACATTGTAGACTGTTTACAGCACATATTGTAGGCTACCTACTGTACACATTATAGCCTGCCTACAGTACACATTATAGCCTGCCTACAGTACACATTGTAGACTGCCTACAGTACACATTGTAGACTGCCTACAGTACACATTGTTGACTGCCTACAGTACACATCTTAGGCTGCCTACAGTACACATCTTAGGCTGCCTACAGTACACATTGTAGGCTAGCTACAGTACACATTGTAGGCTACCTACAGTACACATTGCAGGCTACCTACAGTACACATGGCAGGTTACCTACAGTACACATTGTAGGCTACCTACAGTACACATTGTAGACATTTAGCACTTACTGTACCCCCCTATTTTGTGTCAATATTTTGTTTTTTTTTAGCAATCCCTTTTCATTTTGAGCCTCCTTTAGCACTTTTGGGAGTGTTGGAGGCTCTCTACCCCTCCATAGTCTGCAGCTTGAGTCCTCCCAAATGTACCCAGACACCAGGGCTCAGACAACTGAATAAGAAACCTTGTATGAGACTGTACCCATAAGTGCACTGTGAGGCCTCCATCTATCTTGCTCAGTACTGGCCCTGCATGATAGGAATGAAACATGTGACCACTAGCCAAAAAGGATTACTAAAAATAATAGAACAGACTGATACAAAACAAGGGGCTGCAGTACATGTTAAATGCAGACTTTCACTGCATCTATTCAGCCTGCAATATGAACTGGGTGACAAGGTCTCTTTGATATTATTTAATTGCATATTTTCTCCCACACTCCTACCATCTGCTTTATGTACCTAATGCTGCTTGATGATAACCCTTATTTCCTGCTCATTAATCTTCCCGTTCTTTATTTTCTCTAGGTGGACGTGGAGTCACAGTTGGGCCAATCCTGAGTTCGGCTGCCTCTGACATTTTCTGCGACAATGAGAATGGGCCAAACTTTCTCTTTCAGAACAAAGGCGATGGCACCTTTGCAGACGTAGCTGCCAGCACGGGTAAGAACAATTCATGTGTTTATCTTTCTCCATTTCAATTTCCGTAGCTGCCTAATGTCTGTATTACTGAACATCTCACGCTTATTTATATGTTGTTTTTTTGTATTGCCCTTTTATGAGAATTTACAAGTAGAGGTTAATTAATAGTTACATTCAAGTCGCAACACAGAGGCGTGTATCTTAGCTTGAAAAGCATTGAACTCAATCCAGATCTCACCCTGTTGGTCTCATAAATACACATTAAGAAAAAATGTTGCTTGAGAAATAAAAGCATCAGATATATTTTCCCTGAAAGAGAGATAACATGAAAAAAGAAACTTTTTTTTTCTTTGGTAGAAAGAAACTTTTTTATACCAATAACTCTTATAGTTGCTATTCAGAGCATAAGTGTTTTTCCCCATAGTTCTCTTTAGGGTCTCCGGAGGACATATACTAACCTCCTCCCGTGACCCAAAGCTCAGTGTATATAACGAGATATTGCCCGCGATATACTGAGAGCGCCGCAGCCGGGATGGATCCTAACAATACTGTCAAGATCCACACAGCGGCGTGAGTGACAGCTGACTCTGCCTATCTAGAGGCAGAGCCAGCTGTGCCCGCCCCCTCCAACGTTCGTTCCTCCACTCAGTGCTGGAGGATCGGGGAGGGGGGGAAATCACTGCGGGGAGATGATGTCACATGTGGGCTCAAACTATTGGGAATAGTTTATTTTACTCTCCCTATAGTCCTCCTTTAATGCATTTCTGTATTCATGAAAACATCATTAAAAGTATGTTTTTAACAAGTGTAAATACCTTAATTTAACTGGGAGAGGAAGAATCAGCAAAAGTCAGTCAGTTGTGCTGCTATGCTTATGTGTTAACAACAAGCATGCTGATAGGAGGAGAGAGCAGACTTACAGAGAGATGTGCCCATCACTATGCTGCTTCTACTTTCTAGACATGTGCACCAGCAAAAAATTTGTTTTGATTCGTATTTTGCGTTTTTCAGGATTTGGGTCCGAAAGTCAATTCGTTTCGCTATTCGGTCGAAATTAGTTAGCGGTAGTCTGTACGACTTTTCGTTTACTTTCGTGTTCGTTTTGTTCGTTTTGTTGCAGCAAAGTGAGATCTAAAAAAAAAAATGTTTTTCTTAAATCTAATTTTGCTGCAACGAAAATTTGTCCACAAACAAAAATTCGTACAAGCTACTGCTAACGAATTTCAGCCGAAATTTAGTTTTCTAAAATTCGGATTCGTCCTAACAGGCTGTTATTTAAATGCAGCAGACAAAAATCAGGTCTCCTGTCCTGGCAAACAGGGCTGTGATGTGTTGCTGAGCTGTGTAAATCTTAGGACTGTATAGGCACAAATACAAATCCTTTGGCTGGCAGGTAAAATGGTTCTCACATATGTATTGCATGTGTGTATAGAGCTTAGCTTATAGTTTGTCTCACCTTTAACCTTACCCTTTGTAGTAGTTTGTCCCATACCTCCACAGATTGTCAGGGGACTAATAACAATAGTAACCAACCCAAAGGTAACAAAGCAGAAGAAAACTAAGAGCACAGCAGTGCCCTCAGATATATGGATGTTTACTCACCGGCCCAAGTGGCTCCGTCGGCTAACAAAGGGGGAGGAGTCCGGTGATGTCACGGACATCAACGTCGCCGGACTCCTCCCCCTTCCCTTCGTTAGCCATCACGGACATCGACGTCACCAGACTCCCCTCCCTTCCCTTCGTTAGCCGACGGAGCCACTTGGGGAAGGGGGGAGGAGTCCGGTGACGGCACGGACATCAACGTCGCCGGACTCCTCCCCCTTCCCTTCGTTAGCCGACGGAGCCACTTGGGGAAGGGGGGAGGAGTCCGGTGACGTCGATGTCCGTGACGTCACTGGATCGCCATCGGGACTCTCAGAAGCCGGCGGAGAGGTGAGTGTTTTCATTAGCGATCAAAATAATTTTAATCGATCAAAAAGTTTAGCAATTAATCTTTAATTTCCACAGCTCTAATATATGTAGATATATATAGATATATATGTATTGTATACTGGTTAGGAGTGGTTGGACATAATCTGTATAATACACCAGAAATAGCGTTGCTAGACCAGGGGTGGGCAACTCTACCTCAAGGCACTTGTAGTTCCATATCTCCCTTGAGCTGTTGTGGAACTACAAGTCCCATGAGGCATTGCAGGACTGTGACAGCCACAGGCATGACTCCAGGAGGCAGAGGTGTTATGGGATTTATAGTTAAAGCACAGCCGGAGGGCCAAAGTTGCCCACCCCTGGGCAAGACAAATGGCAGATGTCAAGAATTGGTATTATGACCCACTTTGCAAGTAATTTCTACCAGAAAATAACTTTTAAGCAAATCCTGCCAGTCATCCAAAAAGTATCTATAAATTGCCATTACCAAATGAGAATGAATGTTATGATAAAACTGGACACAGTTGACTAACTGTTCAAAACTACTTTGGGAACAATTAGTAAATTAGTAAATTAGGATTACTGATGAGCACTTTTTAAATATTAGGCTCACAGGAAAATAGAGGACTCTAGGTGCATTTCCCAAAGCTTTCTGAATTTCTGGAGACAGCCTGTAAATTTATTTCAGGTATTTATATAGCGCCGACAATTTACGCAGCACTTTACATAGTTGCACATTCACATCATTATATACTTCTTTATGTTATGGCTACCAGTAATTTCTACCAGAAAATAACTTTTAAGCAAATCCTGCCAGTCATCCAAAAAGTATCTATAAATTGCCATTACCAAATGAGAATGAATGTTATGATAAAACTGGACACAGTTGACTAACTGTTCAAAACTACTTTGGGAACAATTAGTAAATTAGTAAATTAGGATTACTGATGAGCACTTTTTAAATATTAGGCTCACAGGAAAATAGAGGACTCTAGGTGCATTTCCCAAAGCTTTCTGAATTTCTGGAGACAGCCTGTAAATTTATTTCAGGTATTTATATAGCGCCGACAATTTACGCAGCACTTTACATAGTTGCACATTCACATCATTATATACTTCTTTATGTTATGGCCTACTAGTATTAATAAACGCTTTCCAAAAGATGAGTCCTGGCAACTCAGGGTACTCCTATTTAAGGGCTATTGTTTTTCAGGCAAGTCCAGTCAAGGAGCTCTCAGCATTTGCTTGAGGCAGGTTCTTCGACTAGCCCAAGTAGTTCAGATATGCTGATAACTTTAGTTGCACAAGGATACACATCCAAATAATATTAAGCACGTTTTGGATAGATCCAGAAGATGTGCATAAAATCTCTAGCACAAATGTTGTATATCAAGCACAGTGCTGCATGCCTCCCCCATGCCTTGCTGGAACCCCATAAAATATTACATAGACACTATCTTTCTTAAAACTTGTAATTCAATAGGGCTGGGTACATCCTACCACTCCACACATAATAGGACTGGAAAACAGAAGAAGTGGGATAAACAACTGCGTCAGATGTTCAAGTTTTGTGGTGGGACTCACAGGTCACATTATATAGTGGCCTGGTATATAGTGGCTGTGTTAATTGCCTATAGCTGACCAACATTTACTGCAATCAATCTAAAACGTAATTTATAAAAACCGGGTTCCATTAACTATCAGGTGATGTAAATTAACAGTTTTCAGGTATTTGTAGGTCAGATTGGAGAGCACTAAAGTCCAGGCAGTGGTGTGACCTGCACTGATCATAGCTGCTTGCACAGGTTGCATAGCTTGACAGGTGAATCTGCCTGGTTGACCACAAACAGCAATTAAAACTTTGTTATATTAAATTCAGAAGTTAAATCTTAAAAATACATTCAAGTTCCTTAACTATTAACAATAGTGGACCTTATTTTGGCATTACTCAGCTGTAGATCCTCAAATCATCTCTGAATTGGTGCTGACACTGTCCTTCCTTCTGGAGGGTGGCTACTTTTCTTCCCCATGGTCCCTGTGTGTGTTGTGAAGTAGTCACCGCTTCAAGCTCACTCCTGTGATGGACTACAATCTCACTACAAATGACTAAACTAGACATGAGATTGTACTCCATCATGGGAGTAGCTTGGAGCGGTGACTACTTTACAACACACATGGACAAAAGTAGCCCCCCTCTAGAAGAAAGGACAGTGTCGGCACCAATTCAAAGATGATTTGGGGATCTACAGCTGAGTGATACACAAATAAGATACATTTTTGTTAATTGTTGGGGTACTTGAATGTATTTTTAAAAATTAACTCCTTAGCTTGATGTCACTTGAAGTGGTTGCTAACTCCCTAAAGTTCTCAATCCTAGATTTCTTCTCACACCCTATCATGTCTTCAGTTCAGGTGGTGAGGGGAAATCTTCCCAAAAGGCACAATAAAACAGCCAAGTCTTCCCCATTTTCTCTGAAGTTAAATTAAATTACAAAAAATAATATTTTGGGGGTTCCACTTAAACATAAAAATATTTTTTTTAAATACCAATGCAGACAAAATATTGCAGCAGGTTAATCAGATGTGAAAGTGTTGAAGCAATTGGACTGAACAGGTATTTATATAAGATTTATTAGAAGATCTGCTACTCGGCAAACCTAACATTTCAGCCAGCCCACCGTGTTCCAGCGTTTGCAGTGGCTTCTACATTTTTTTATCCCACAAGGGGGCTTCTGTAATGATGGCAGTATAAGTGCAGATGTCAACCTCGATTTTCAGCTAACAGCAGGAGAATGGTCTCTGCAGAGTTTGCTGAATATTGCAAACCAGAAAATTGGAGGATAAAGGAGATAAGTCTAATTTCTGCCATTATTCTTATGACAACCTCTGTAGGAGTTTGGTTGGGCTCAGTGCTGCTTAATTTTAATTGTATTTAAAGGACTGATATTTGTATCTGTATTTTACTTACATGGATCCTATTTTTAATAGACTTTGTAGTTTTGCAACATTTAAGGGTCTATTCACAAAGGAGCCAAAGGATCCAGCCGTAGCTCCGGCTGATCCTCCGGCTCTCTTTGGCCGCCAGAGCCCTT